GAGAGAGAGAGAGAGAGAGAGAGAGAGAGAGAGAGAGAGAGGAAGAACGCTTTGAGGATGTAGTTCATTAGGTAGAGCACTTATACAGGCCCTGGGTTCAGTTCTTAGCACCGTGTAAACCAGATATGTGGCGCACACCTGTAATCCCAGTACTCAGGAGGTAGAGGCAATTGGATCAGAAGTTCAAGGTCATCCTTGGCTACGAAGCAAGTTTAAAGTTAACCTACTACATGAAACCCTGTCCCAAGGCTTCCTGCAGCTGTGTGGTTTGCTGGGTGGAGCCTGTGTGACTGTGGTCTCCTTCCCTCCCCCAGAGCCTCCTACCTGCTCCCCTGATCAGTTTGCGTGTGCCACTGGTGAGATTGACTGTATCCCTGGAGCCTGGCGCTGTGATGGCTTCCCCGAGTGTGCCGACCAGAGCGATGAAGAAGGCTGTCCAGTGTGCTCTGCCTCCCAGTTCCCCTGCGCCCGAGGCCAGTGTGTGGACCTGCGTCTGCGCTGCGATGGTGAGGCCGACTGCCAGGATCGCTCTGATGAAGCTAACTGTGATGGTGAGGCCCCTGCCCTGCCCACCCTGGCTGCCATTTCCCACCCAGGCCCTGCCGAAGACATTTGTCCGTCCCTCTTGTACAGCAAACATGAGTCTCCATTTTGCCTTCCTCAAGTAGGGGTGCTGTTAAACAGCTAATAGGCAGGTCTGCTTGATGGGAACAAATGAAGTTAGTTTTAGGCACAACATGAAGAAATGCTGCATCCTACTGGTAGTTGACTTAAAGACGGGCTGAGCATTTGTCTCACATTTCCACATTTGATAGTAATTTCTACAGAAACTCCAGATAAATCCAGTAGTCAGCTAGGTGTTGCCATGGCTCACACCCTATTACAGTCTCATCTTCAAAGGCAGTGTGTGCAGCATTGGACCATGTGTGGGACAGTGCTGGCCACCTGGGCCACTTTGATCAGCAAGAACTTCATATAGACATATTCTGTTTTGTTTTTTTCTTCTGAGACAGGGTCTCATGTATCCCAGTCTAACCTTAAATTTGTTATGTAGCTGGGGATGGCTTTGAACTTTTTGTTGTTTTGTTTTTTGAGACAATTTCATTGTGTAGCCCTGGCTGTCCTGGAACCCTCTCTGTATACCAGGTTGGTCTCGAACTCACAGAGATTAGCCCGCCTATGCCTCCTGAGTGCTGTGATTAATGGTGTGCACTACCACTGCTGACTGGCCTTGAACTTCGGATTTTTCTGTCTCTACCTCTTGAGTGCTAGGATTATCCACAAGTCGTCTGTGCTATGTTGAAGATCAACCCAGGGCTTTCTGCATGTTATGGTAGCAGTCTATCAACTGGATTATATTCTCAGCCTTTTCTTTAAGATGTGTGTGCGCGTGTGCTCGAATATCACGTTGTGTTTACTTTCTCCTTCTACCATGTGGGTCCCAGGGATGAGGTCATCAGCCTTGACTCTAAGCATCTTTATCCACTATGCCAGTGGTTCTTAACCTTCCTAATCCCACAACCCTTTAATACAGTTCCTCATGTTGTGGTGACCGCCTACCATAAAATTATTTTGTTGCTACTTCATAACTGTAATTTTGCCACTGTTATGAATCTTAATGTAAATATATGGTATGCAGAATATCTGATATTTGACTCCCATCAAAGGGTTGTTCCACCCCCAAATCAAGAATCCCTGCAGTAAACCAGGCGGTGGTGGCACACGCCTTTAATCCCAGCACTCGGGAGGCAGAGGCGGGCGGATCTCTGTGAGTTCGAGGCTAGCCTGGTCTCCAGGGCGAGTGCCAGGATAGGCTCCAAAGCTACTCAGAGAAACCCTGTCTCAAAAAATCAAAAAAAGAAAAAAGAAAGAATCCATGCAGTAAGTAATCTCACTGGCTAACCTTTAATTAAAAACAAAAATTAATTCAATTTTCTGTATGGGTGTTTTGCCTACATATGTGTATGTGCACACATGTATGCCTGGTGCTTGCAGAGGCCAGAAGAGGGTGTTGGTTCAACTGGAACTGGAGTTACAGATGATCTTAAGCTGCCACGTGGGTGCTGGGAATTGAACCCAGGTCTTGTGGAAGAACAGCCAGTCCTCCTAACTGTGGATACCTTTCCAGCCCTCATTGACCCTCCATTTGATTCTTCCAAAGAAATATATATCTCTTTTGCACTTGCTTTGCTTGGCCCTCTATTACATGACCTGCACTGTTATTGGCCATCAGCCACATGTTTTCAGCACCATAGGCACAGATCTGTCACTGTTCCTTACTGTCTCTGTCTGAAGCTGCTGGGTGATGTTGTTGATGATTCAGACGCTGTCTGCCACTGTCCTCCTCCCTCATTCAGCATGAACAGATGTTCTGCAGGACATGAGGCCTGGAGTGACCTTAGTGGGTTTCTCTGTGTGGCTGTGATGATGATAGCCTTATTGCTTTCCAGTTTTCTGGGGGGTTGGCAGATAATGGGACTTTGGCCAAACCCAGCTAGCTGCTTCAGCCTATGTCTATAAATAAGGATCCATTGGCATGCCTGGCCCAGTTACTCCTGTACATGTGGACATTCTTGTGCTAGACAGGCATGCAAGCAAGGCGGTTGGTGGCAGAGCCAGTGATAGTTCTGCTTCTAGTTTAGAGTGTCACATGAGATCAGTTCAGAATCCCTCCCTCCCTCATCCCGCTGTCTTGATACACTCTTCCTGTTGTGAGACAGATCACCAATAGCAGGTGCTGGCCCCAGCTTCCAGGAAGGACAAAGTGCCCTCGCCTCCTTTACCAGGTCAGGCACCTGGGGCATTTGAGGAATGGGTCCAGAGGGGTGGTTGTGGGAGATAGTGCCCAAGCACCCAGGTGTTCCTCAAGGTGTGGTAACTCAGCATGGTTCTCTGCCCACTCTCCTCTCACATAGTAGAGGAGACAGCCTTTGTTCCCACAAGTGTGACTTCTAGCTTTGTGGAGTTCTGGGCTCCACTGCCGTAGTCCATCTGCACTGAAGAAATGGCATTCCTGCCAACTCCATTTCCAGCCTCACATGCTTGGTCCTGCACCTGAGGCTTTTTTTTTTTTTTTT